GTGGTAGAGTGCTAGCCTTGAGCTGAAGAGCTGAGGGACAGTGCCCAGGCCCAGAGTTCAGGCCCCACGACCGGACCCCCCCAAAAAAAAACCCACAAAAAGATTTGTGAGATTGTCTTATGCCAGTTTAAAATGTAACTTTTAGACATCACCACTGTCATAAATTTGTTAAAAAAATAAAACACCCAATTTCATGGAGTGTAGGCCTATGAAAGGTAGCATATGTAGCATATGAAAGATTCTAAGTATAATTTTCAAATCATGTTCTTCTCCAACTAAGATGCATTTAATTTCCATAGGAATTGGGCCTCTTGCAGTTACGGGAAGGTGCATCAGGAAAGAGCATGAGGTCTCCACTCTGCTGCCTAACCATCCTAGCCTTCCATACCTACATTTCCCTGATACTTGGTAAGGGCTGGGCAACATTATGCTTCTGAAAATCGAGTGAGTGAAAATTTAGCAAAACAAGCCAGAGTGGGTTTTATCTATTTATTTTTCTTTTTTCCCATAAAAAGGAGAGTAGTGACCTTTTATATAGAGGAATAGGGCTGACTTTTTTTTCATTGAATTTTAAAATATCTAAATTGGCCAAAATTTCTTTTATTAAGTCATGTATTTTTCACATAATTACGTTGGATTCTCTTTTTGTAGAAAATTAAGTTTTTGGCTAAAATATGTACAGTGCTAACTGGAAAATCTAGTTAGAAATCTAAGACAGTGACCTCTGTTCTTAAGTTTGTTTGCCCTAAAATTCTTTTAAACTAAAGTCATAGGTAAGACTTGTCTTTAGTTCTCAGATGTTTGAAAAAAAAGTGACAAAGTGGGCTGGGAAGGTGGCTCAGTGGTAAAGTGCTTGCCTTGCATGCCTGAGGCCCTGGGTTCGATTCCTCAGCACCACATAAGCAAAAAGAAAAAAGCCAGAAGTGGCGCTGTGGCTCAAGTGGTAGGGTGCTAGCCTTGAGCTGAAGAGCTGAAGGACAGCTCCAGGCCCAGAGTTCAGGCCTCATGGCCGGACCTCCCCAAAAATTAAATAAATAAAAATAAAAATAGCACATCAAAAACAAAAAAAGTGACAAAGTGATAGTTTCCTCCTTTCCCACAAGTAAGTCTTATGTAATGAGATTTGAGTCAAACATCTGCTGTATTCATGGAGACTGAAGCTTTTCCTGTTGAATTTCCAGGGACAGGAGAAGTGAATGTGGTAGAAGCAGAGCGGCTCCTCGCCCCCTTCCTCCAGCAGTTTCCAAATGTATGCAGAACATTTCAATTGTTTGTTTCAGTCACAGCTCCTCAGTCAGACTGTTGAACAATGTTTTTGTTTTTCTTCACAGGGCTCACTCATGTTGTTCTATCATGCTCGGATTGAGTTACTGAAAGGGAATATTGAAAAGGTAAATTTTGGGGGGGGACAGAACTTTTCAGGGTCGTGTCTAAAGAGCGGCGTTGTGTCACACATTCAACATAAACAGACAAAAGAAAAAGGCAATGCAACTAAAAAAGTTGAAATTTTACTTGGTGTTTGTATCCTATTATATATAGTAATATTCCTCAAAGTACATTTACACATAAAATACATAAGGCAATTTAGGACAGATACACAAAATAACAGGTGGGCAATTTAAGGGATTTAAAGAACTCTGTTATCCATTTCTGCATGACATTCACTTTGGACTCTCATCCTTACATAATATCCAAGTCTGTATTACACAGTTCCTCATTATAAGAATTTGTTAACTAATTCCTGAGGTGTAGTAGAAGAGTAGGAGCCTTTCCTATAAGCATATACTCATAATAATGATTTTCTTCTACACAAATGGGATCAAGCACGCATATATTTCTGTGATTTGGCTTTTTTCTGTCTATATTCCATCTTGGATCTCTTTTCAGGTAAGTCTAAATTTCCCTTGATCTATTTTGATGGTCAGATTTTATTTCATGGAATGCACATACCATACTTAAAAAAATGGTATAGTTCTGGGCTGGGAAGGTGGCTCAGTGGTAGATCACTTGCCTTGCATGAATGAGGCCCTGGGTTTGATTCCTCAGCACTACATAAGCAAAAAGAAAAAAGCCGGAAGTGGTGCTGTGTCTCAAGTGGTAGAGCGCTAGCCTTGAGCTGAAGAGCTGAGGGACAGCGCCCAGGCTCAGAGTTCAAGCCCCACGACTGGACCTCCTCCCCTCCTCCCTCCCCACCCCCCCAAAATGGTATAGTTCTGATACCTGTTTGGCACTACAATAACAACACTTTTGGAAATCTTCCTATGTATACATTTCTGTGTACAGGAATATTGACAAAAGTCTGATTCTGATTGTTTGAAGATTTGGATCAGAAGATGTTTGCATTTTGACAAAAACAGCCAAATTGCCTTTCATAATGGCCTTTCAGTGTCAACTTCTATAAAGATAGGAGATTGTATATTTCCAGTGTTCTTTGTCAACTCTGGAAAATTTCTGCATCCAGTTTTGTTAGAATTTTCAATTTTTAATTTTTTTTCTGGTTTTGGGGCACTGACCCTGAGCTTTTTTTGCTCAAGGCTAGTACTGTTAACTCTTGAGCCACAGCTTCACTTACCATCTTTCAAATCTTTGCCAGTTACTCAGCTTATTAATTATATATATGAAAATTATATAAATTCATAAACATATACATATATATGTGCATATACATTATATATCTGGGAAAAACATTTGTCACTTTATATCTTGTGCTCCAATTTGCCTGTTTATAGTTTCACATGTTTCTTTGTAACTTTGTAAAAGTTTTATCTAATAATAGAGGTTAATCTTTGATCAGTTATATGCCTAGTGCCTGGGACTTTGTTAAGTGTGTTTTGGCTTATGGAAATTCTAACAAGTGTCAGTCTTTTCTTAAAAGATGTTGGCATTTTATATCTTACTTGAAAAGGTGCCAAGATTGCCTCATAACATTAAATGAACTTAAGTGAATCATTGCATTTAAGGAAAGGAATAACATCATTTTGCATGGTTTAATGAGTGATAATATTGTTCTTCTTGTACAAAGTGTTTTATGTATTTTTCCATTAGGTTATTATCTCCTTATCTAATATCTGGATGATCAGCTTTATGCAATTGACTTATAGGCACAAGAGATATTTCGAAAATGCATTTCAGTTCAAGAAGAATGGAAACAGTTTCACCATCTCTGTTACTGGGAGCTAATGTGGACTTCTATATTCCAACAAAACTGGATGCAGGCATATCACTATTCAGATCTACTTTGCAAAGAGAGTAAATGGTCAAAGGTAAAGAAGAGTGTTTTCATTAATATCACCTGTTAGATGGAAGTGGTCAGGGTGGTTTTTATTTAGAACTTTTCATAGTATGACATTAACATTAGCTTCTCTCCTTAGAAATCCACAAGATTAGGAAATAAGTATTAAGTACATGCTACATGATCACACTGTCCTTAGCATTACATGCTCTAAAACCTACCCCAAAAGTTTTTTTCTAACAAGGAGAATAATAGCTCATCTAAAGATAAATTACACTTATATTTAAAGTATTACACATTTATACTGTAGTCTGGATAATTTCTGTAGACTTCCTAGTGCCCTGATGACCAAACTTTTTGTGATTATTAAAATGAATTCTGGAGGGAAAAACTGGGAGAAAATGAGGGAAGAGATGATGACACTGTTAAAAAAGAAGTGTACTCCTTACCTGATTTACATAACTGTAAACCCTCTGTACAATAACAAAAAATGAATTCTGATATACAGTGAGAAGTTGGGAGCAATTAGGTGACAATCTCATTCTGCCTACTTTCTTACCCATGGATGTGGTATAGTCTTGAAAGAAGAAAAAAAATTCAATTTATTGAAAAGTGCTATTCTCATTTGAAAGAGACAACTAAAAATTCCATTTTCTTTGATTTCTTTATTACCTCTTAATATCATATCCAGAAAATGTGTAAGCCATTCCTAATTTTCAAGGTAGAAGTGCAAAGTACCTAAAGATGTTCAATAGCCAGCTCCTTTTCTTCTTCTCCTCAAGGCAACATATGTGTTCTTGAAAGCTGCCATTTTGAGTATGCTTCCAGAGGAGGATGTGGTAGCAACTAATGAGAATGTGGTAACTTTATTTAGGTAAGCAAGACATCATTTCTATAACAAAGCCCCTGGGTATATAAAGAGATACAAATGTATCTTCTGTTCTCTTGTGCTTCACTTTCATTTTTATTTAACTGCCCTGCTCATTTGATATGGGAAGTATTAAAACAGTGCAGTTAGCAGAGAGTCAAAATGTCATCCTTTGAGCTTCCTGCAGCTGTGCCTGTGTAACGGGTATCTCTAGAAGGCTTGGTTTTGGCAGTAGGACATTATTATTGGGGCTCTGCTACTAGATTTTTTCCCTCTTATTTTATTTTAATTTTTTTCTGTGATGTAATGGGATAGTTCCTTGAATCATTTCTCAGCAACTTACTGGATGCATTAATACAATTGTGCATATTAATGTCCTCAGGTGCTGAGCATGGTGGTGCACAGATGCCTCCCCAGCACTGGGGAGCCTGAGGTTGAAAGATCTTAGATTCAAAACCAGCCTCGAAGATGTAAACAAAAACCACTCAGTCCAAAATGTAAAAGTGCCTTCAGGTGTATGTCGTCCCCCATTCTAGTCTCATACGTTTATGATTTTCACAATTGGAATTCTGTACAATTTTCAGAGACGTCTGCAAATGTGTACAAGTCTTAAACTGATTATTTGGAAAACTTTTCCTCAAATTATACATTAATTGATGGCTACCTTTTGAGGCCTGCATCACTTTATAGACCTGTACCATTGCAGCTAGGAACAGGAAATGTATTAGTATACTCTCTTCCTTCTTAGACTCTTCTTAAGAAAATTGACAATGTTTCCTGGACTATGTTGGATAGATGGGAGGTCTTAACTGAGATGACTAGAAAGAATTGTGTCATTCAATGGCTCTGACTTGAAGGTGTTGCAGAATCACATGGCGGATGCATCAGACTCCACAGTGCTGGTGCCCAGCCACGGAGTTGCTGATTCAGTTAGGTCTGTGGTGTAGCCCAGCAAGTTCCCAGGTGCTACTGATGCTGATGATCTGTGGTGTGTGGTATGAAAGCCATGAGTAAATAACATATGTGCTTACTGACCTTTTGTTTGGGATTTTCAGACAGGTGGATGGTTTGAAGCAGAGAATCGCTGGTAAATCTCTCCCTACTGAGAAGTTTGCTGTGCGGAAGGCACGGCGTTACTCCCCCTCCTTGCCTGCTCCCGTGAAGCTCATCTTGCCCGCCCTGGTATCTGCTTTTATATTAGTTACTATTTGCATCCTAGAAAAACGTTCTCTATTCCAAATATCAGGGGGCATATCTGAATTTGGTTGTGAGATTTATAGCTCAGTTAAATTTTACAAGGTAAATGTTTATAAATAATTAAAAAATAATTATTACTTATGGGTTTTGATTAGTTGTATGTTTCAGGCATTATCATAAAAGCTACTTAAAGCTTTATCATTTAATTTGCATAATAACTGTCCCATTTTACATTTAAGGAAGTTCAGGCAGGGAGAGGGCAAGTTGACTTCCCTGGAATTGAATTAAAAATAATTCAAACCTGATGGAAAAAGAGAATTTTACATTGTGAGGTTATAATATGGGATTTTTATGACCACAGTGTGTTAAATCACATGATTTTAGTCTTCGAAACTTAGTATTTTAAAATTGCCTCATTGTGATAGCCAAAAACAAGGAGTAAACGAAATTTCAGTTTAAACTAGATTCAGTTGTCTCCTGTAATTTTGCTGCTCTAATTCCTAAGCTAGGAGTTTTATAGTAGAGCTTAGCAGAATGCAAAAATTCTTTTGTTCACAATCTCCACGTCATAGGGCTCAGCTGATTGCTTAGTTAGAAACTTATTCTTCCATGCTCACATTAAGTTCTGATTTAAAATTTTAAAAACTTGAACTCAGTTAAGAATTTGAGGAGATTTCCTTAACTTAAATGGAAATGGTATGTTGTTTTCAAGGAATTTTGTAGCCATCTTTGCAGTTTCTTGGCTTCGAAAACTTTTTAGGTGGTTAACTACAAATTAATAGTTGGATTACTTTCCAGAGCATTGTCTGTGGACACAGTGTATACCTCAAGGTAAACACAGTATGTTATGTCTAAAATTTAATCATTGTTAATTTAAATGATTCTGACATGTCTATAAATAAACTTTCAAAGTTAAAAAAATTCAAACCACAAATATAATTTTACCTTTACTATTAGCCATATTAAAAAGTACAAAGAAAAAAAAGAGAAAAAAGTACAAAGAAACATGAAATGAACTTTTAAGAATATCATTGAACACATTTATGCAAATTTTCTCATTTCAACATGCAGTGGCAATTAGTATAAGCTTATTTATTAAATTCTTTACCTTTTTTTTTGGCCAGTACTGGGGCTTGATCTCAGGGCATGGCACTACTCCTTAGCTTTTTCAGTTACAGCTTCTGGCTTTTTGTTGGTTAATTGGACATTAGAGTCTCATGAACTTTTCTGCCCAGGGTGGCTTATAATTGGAATCTTCTAACTTCAGTCTTTTGAGTAGCAAGGATTATAAGCGTGAATCACTGGCAACTGACTTACATCCTTTTATATTGAACTAGTTCTTTCTTAGAAATTACACACTTATATTTCTAGTACTCAAGAGCCCAAAGTGGATGATGGCTGTTCTAGTTCAGCTTGTGCTCATACTCCTAAACATTAATGCCATTTAGGCAAAGCCTTTGTAAAAAAACTTAATTTTTGCTTAAATTTTTTATTCAATTGCCTTTCAAAAATACTGGACATGGGTTGGGAAGGTGGCTCAGTGGTAGCGCGCTTGCCTTGCATGGTTGAGGCCCTGGGTTCGATTCCTCAGCACCACATAAGCAGAAAAAAAAAGCCGGAAGTGGCGCTGTGGCTCAAGTGGTAGAGCGTTAGCCTTGAGCTGAAGAGCTGAGGGACAGTGCCCAGGCCCAGAGTTCAGGCCCCATGACTGGACACCCCCGCCCCCCCCAAAAAAAAGGGCTGGGAAGGTGGCTCAGTGGTAGAGCGCTTGCCTTGCATGCATGAGGCCCTGGGTTCGATTCCTTAGTACCACATAAGCAAAAAAGAAAAAAGCCGGAAAGTGGTGCTGTGGCTCAAGTGGTAGAGCACTAACCTTGAGCTGAAGAGCTGAGGGACAGTGCCCAGGCCCAGAGTTCAGGCCCAATGACCGGACCAAAAAAAATAAATTAATTAAAAAAATACTGGACATAACAAGTTACATGACTTTTTGAGGCTTCTTATCAATATCTTGTTTTTTAAATTTGCCTTGATCAGCTGGGGACACTGAACAGCTTTTGTGTGTTTATTCCTTTGTGAATTGGTGTTTATATCCTCCCTTAACTTTTCCACATATCATTTCTTGTCTTGTTATTGACTTACAGGAACTGTTTACATATTCCATAAACAGAAAGTACAGCTCTTACAGGGGTCAGACATAAAAGCTAACCTGCGACTAGTACACATGTCCCTATCTGACATAAGCAATACCAGGGAACAATAACATCAGTCAGAGGTGTTCTGTGAGTGTGACAGAGTAAGCCAAAACTGTGACCAGTTTCTAATCACATCAGAGCACAAACAAAACCAAAGCACTGCACATCTCAGTGTTCACCAAACATTCCAGCTAACATGAAAGCTTGTTGCTGTGTTACCACTTAATTTTAGCTCCAGGCCTCAATCTTTTATTTATTTATTTTGTTGGTTGTGAAGCTTGCACTCAGTGCCTTGTTGCTCTCCCTGAACTTTTTTGCTTTGAGCCACAGTGCTACTTCCAGTTTTCTGGTGGTTAATTGGACATAAGAGTCTCATAGACTTTCCTGCCTGGGCTGGCTTTGAACCTTGATTCTCAAATCTCAGCCTCCTGTGTAGCTAGGATTACAAGCATGAGCCACTGGTGCCTGACCTTATTCTTTTTTTTTTTTGTCTGTCGTGGGGTTTGAACTCTGGGCCTGAGTGCTGTCCCTTCAGCTCTTCAGCTCAAGGCAAGCACTCTACCACTTGAGCCACAGTGTCACTTCCGGTTTTCTGGTGGTTTATTGGAGATAAGAGTTTCATGGACTTTCCTGCCCGGGCTGGCTTTGAACCGCAATCCTCAGATCTCAGCCTCCTGAGTAGCTAGGATTACAGGTGTGAGCCACTGGCGCCCGGCACCTTATTCATTTTTATCAAGCGGTTTATACTGGGAAAGTTTTTCTTTCTTACAGAACTTTTCAGAAATGTTGTTAACCCTCATAGTTCTTTCTCTGCAGTAGTATTTAAGAGTTTAGTGGTACATGATTGTCCTGCTTTGATGGTTGAGAATCTTAAGAAAGGTTAGCTCACTACCCAAACTTCTCTGTGTTTATGGATGTACAATGAATAGGGAGTTGGCCTGAATTACTGTAATTTTACCATTAATTCTCAGACATGAGCTTGCCTTCTTCTGATAAAATATTCCATCTGTAAACAATTTTAAATCAACAATTTAAAAATAAGTGTTGACTTGAGCTCTTACTTGGTTAAACAGTAAGAAATTGTCTTATGTAAAATGTATGGCAGGGTGTTGTGATGTTAATTTTCATGCCATGGAGTTAACTCACTGCCACTCTGCCTGAATATGTCATTTCTACTACTTCCTTGCTATGAAGCTTTTCAAACAATATCCATGATATTTTAAAATTCATTTTTCCTAAGAAGATACTAATTAGACTGCTTATTGTATTCCCTTCAAAATACAAACTGTACTATCAGGATCATTAGAAAAAATATTTTCAAGCAAAAGCACATTTGCCTTTGGTCCAAAAAAATTTCTCATCTGTTAGCCCATTAAATATAATCTGCCATGAGAAATCATTACTTTACATTTTCAGAAGCTGTCATTCAGCCATATGGCCCTTAAACAAATGTGTTTTCTGCTTATTGGATTGCATTGCTGGACCGACACATGTTTTTAATGGTATAAGAGGAGATGGAGCCCAGTATTCCAATGTTCATTTCTAGTGATATGCTTGGAAACATTTTATGTAAACAACTGGCAGACATTTTAAAATATTTCCCTTTACTTAAGAGTAACAACAAAAACTTATATTAAACAGAATCGTTCATAGAGTCAGTTTAAAAATTGTTATTACTTCTATAATATAAAAGGAAAAAGTCATGTAATAAAATGAGAGAATTATATCACTAAGCTCCACATGAAGTAAGCTAACGTAAAGTGTTATTTTGAGATCCTTAGCAACCAAAGCAAGACACATGTATGTGCTTTTGTGGAGATGAAAGATGTTGAGTATCTTCATATAATTGCAAATGGCTTTTCATTCTTCCTCATCAGGAAATGATGTATGTCTGGAATGGTTTTCCAATAGTGAGCAAAAGAAAAGACCTTTCTGAAAATCTCTTGATAACTGTTGAAAAGGCTGAGGCAGCTTTACAAAATGAGAGTAAGTATGAAAAGAAATGTGTAGTAATCTTTGTCTCTGTGTTTCCATTTTCCATCTCCTGTTTTTTCTCCCAAAAAATTTTTAAAAAGAAGAAGAAAGAGAGAAAAAAGAAAAGAAAAGAGGACTGGGAAGGTGGCTCAGTGGTAGAGTGCTTGCCTTGCATGCCTGAGGCCCTGGGTTCGATTCCTCAGCCCCACATAAGCAAAAAGAAAAAAGCTGGAAGTGGCACTGTGTCTCAAGTGGTAGAGCGCTAGCCTTGAGCTGAAGAGCTGAGGGACAGCGCCCAGGCCCAGAGTTCAGGCCTCACAACTGGACCTCCCCCCCCAAATTTTTTTTTGGGTGCTGATTCAGGGGGTTGAACTTGGGGTCTGGATTCTGTTTGTTTTTTGCTCAACAGTGGCATTATAGTGCTACCACTTGAGCCACAGCTCTGCTTCTGGCTTTTTGGTAATTAATTGTAGATAAGAGTCTTATAGATTTTACTGGCCTAGGATGGCTTCAAACCACGATCCTCAGATCTTAGCCTCCTGATTAGAATTACAAGCATGAGCTAGCCACTGGCACCTGACAAATCTGTTTTATTTTGAAATGGAAACTGTTGGGTCAGTGATAACTCAGTTTTCTTGTTCGAACATTTCTGATTCTGTCTTTTAAGTAAACACTGTGTTTTGATCCGCAGTGTCATCAACTAGCCCATCACTCTCTCCTGGTGAGAGACAACCACCCTTCTTCCTGTTATTATGCATATGATTGCTGCATATCTCCTTCATATGAAATGCTATCATACAGAGCTTGCTCTTTGTTTAAAATGTTTTATTTATTTTTAATAATATATATCAGGTGTACGGGGCGTTAGGGGGGCTTTCACGGACATTTTTCACACACACAGCACATCCCAGTCAACATGACATGCTCTATCAGTCGACCTTACCTCGCCTCATTTTTCAAAGCAATTTCAACAGGTTCTGTTTTGATACATGTAAACAAACTACTTCAACCCCTGTATTTGTCCTTTTGTGATTGGTTATTTTATTGAGTACATCTTCAGGGTTTATTGTATTGTAGCATATGTCAAACTTCCCTTTTATAAGGAAATACGGTATTCCTATTCATGTTTTGCTTCATTTGCTGATAGACATTTGGGCTGTTCCACCTCCTTCCCATTAGAAATAAAGCTGCTATGAATGTGGATGTACAAGTCTGTCTTCAAAAGCCAGCTTCATTTTTTTGGGATATATTTAGCTAGAAGTAAAATTGCTTGATCAATTATCATTTCTATTTTAGTTTGTTTTGAGGAATTGCTTGTCATAGTCTGGTTTCAGAATATCATAGGCACAGTAATTTGTAAAGAAATTTGTTTCCCAGTACTGCCAAAAAAGAAAACGTACTGAGAAATTTATTTTTTACAGAGATGGAGGCTTGGAAGTTCAATGTCAATGTTCTTCTGGTGAATCTTAACTTAGAAAGGGGGAAAAAAAAGTTTTTTAGTTAAATGGTAACAGTTGGGTTAACAGTTTAAATGACTACAGTAAGGTATTCTATCCCCTTACTCCCCCCACCTCCCATTAAAGTAGGCTAGCTTTCTTTGTTTTTCTACCAAGCTAGGGGTTTGGGTTCAGCAGAATGAATTCTGATAAATACCAGTTTTCTGTAGTATAAACTCCTAATGTAGCACTACAAAATGGAACTTTGTAATTCATGACGTCTTGAATCTAAAAGAGTGACTACTGTTTTTTCCTCTGAGCAACACTCTTTACCTTCAAATCTCCCAAATTAATTTTTCCCTCTACTGATTAAAGAAAAAAATTAAAGGAGTAATACATATATTATGCTTATGAAATACAATAATGGCTTAGAAAATCCAACTATTTCTTGTTTTTTTCTACATCCTGAGAAACACTGAAGAATTTAAGCCACATCTAAAGTGTTTAAACTTTAAGAGATAATTAGGGTCAGGGGGAAACTGAGACAGACAGGTAGACATGCTGGACTTACCCATGGCCCTGTTCTTGTTAGGACCTTTAGCTGATTAAGCTCCTATCCTTCAGGATGGGAGAAAATGAATAGCTAGAAGGAGTGAAGTTGTAAACCTGAGGGTACACCAACCTCAATCCCATCTCTGAGTTTCATTACTGGAAATAGAATGTATTCTTTGTTTCGTCTGTTGTGGGTCTTAAACTCTGGGCCTGGGCACTGTCCCTCAGCTCTTCAACGCAAGGCTAGCACTCTACCACTTGAGCCGCTGCGCCACTTCTGTTTTTTTTTTGAGTGGTTTATTGGAGATAAGAGTTTCATGGACTTTCCTGCCCAGGCTGGCTTTGAACTGCGATCCTCAGATCTCAGCCTCCTGAGTAGCTAGGATTACAGGTGTGAGCCACCAGTCCTCGGCTTCCAGATTCTTAAGAATGTGTTTTTGTTGGTAGCTTTGGCAGGTGTAGTTGATCTATTCTGGCATTGCTTTGGCTATAGTTTTTAATTCCAAGGATACCAAGGTTAGAGCTCTGAAAACACAGAAGTACTTGGTAACATGCCTGGAGTCATTTGGTATTAATTCCATTAGTGTTTTCTTTGAAATCTTAACTAAATTCATTATGCAGCCAGGATTTGGTATAGCAGATCTACTTTGTCTATTTTGTATTACTGCTTGGATAGCTTTCTGCATTTTCTGTTGTTATTTTTCTCTTAGTGAATTACAGCTAGCATCAAAGAAGTTCAAAACAGATATTTTTGTAGTTTTTGCTTTTATCTCCCCTGTTCCTCAGCTTCTCCTTAAAGAGGCCTTAACTAATTAAGTTTAGTAGATCTTTTGTGATGGAAATGTGCTTGGGTATCATTACCATGTAGTTTCTTTTAATGTGAAATGGAAGTTGTATGTTGATGTCCTTATCCATGAGCTCATTCATAAGATTGAGAATAGTGACAGAACTCTCATGATAATTATCTGATAGACTGTGTTCTGTGCTCTGAGGAAAAATGGTTTTGCTTCAAAGGTTTTTAAAGGAGTTTGGACTTTCTGAATCCATTTGTCATAGTTTTAAGGCTAGATTGACATGAAAGTTGCTTGTATCTTTGCTGCTATTTTCCATGATGCTATGTCTGTTCCTCATTAAAAAAAAATCACGATTGACAGAGCAATAAAATGTTGTCATAACACAAACTGTCAAAAAAACCCTACTACACAAAACTCAAGAAATATACAAAATGATATATCTAATTTGGGCTCTAGGTCTTTAGCTTTAGGCTTTGAAAGATACTACTTCTTGACTATTATGTAGTTCAATAAACATCTATGATTAGAAGCATGGATTGCCTTTTTTTTTCCTAGAAAAAATATGTTTCCACCTAAGTAATAGGAAATACAATGTGGTGTTGGTATCTGTGATTATTACTTTTTAAAAAGTAAGTGACCTATCAGGCATTGGAAGTGAATTTCCAGCTGATTTCAGTAGTTGAAATGACACCCTATCACCATGACCCTGTTAGCTCAGTAGCATTGTTAGCCTCTCATAGGCAAACAGTTTACCAGCTAAAACACCAGCATGAATGGCTGGTGATTGTTCAGGTTGTATTGAAAACAGGAGAATTTCAGTATGAGGGACTCCAGGGCCTAGTAGTTATCTTTATGCTCCCTGCGTACCTCACTCCCCCACCCCGACTCGCCCCAGCCTGAAATGTGTAAATTAGCTGTCTGTCTCAGAATGACTTGTTAGTTGTATATAACTTGCATTTGAAAAATACAAGAACTAAAAAAAAAATCAACAAAAAGCTTTCACAAGTGGTAAGTGTGGAGAGACTACCTTTGTCAGATACATGTCAAACATAGTATGGTTTGGATGGTACAATTTGACTTGAGCTGGAGAAGATTAATAATTATTTTCAAAAGGGAAAAAGTGCTAAAAGAAAATCCCTGTCATTACCCTTAAGCATTTAGAAGTTTGTAGGGATTTTTTAAAGATACTTTTCATGTATTTCAAAACCATTTTGTCTAATTTTACAGCACAATTTTCCCCCAAAAGAACATAACCTGGGAGAATTGATAAGTTGTAAACATAATGATCTGGAGAGGGTGTTCTACTTCCTGAATTTTTAATGGGTGTAAAGCCATCTGCTTCTCCATATGGAAGTGTTACCCTCCCCACATTGAAGCCAACACAGTTAGAAGCCAAAACAACAGGAGGCAGCAGCCTTCTTGCTCCTCCTGGCTTTACCTTTTACAGAATTAATAAAGCTCTTACTTTATTTAGAGTTCATATTTCCTGTTGTGTCTAAGGTCACGAAACTCAGAGTGGGACCACCTAAAAAAATTTTGTGAGTAGGTAGAGTGAACCCAGTTTAATTAAAAGGTATGCCACTAAGTAAATTCCACATTCTTTTGATGGGAAATATTGTCATTTTTGTGTTTCATGTAGTGAAGCATAACAAATACTAAAAACATTTTCCTTATTTAAATGGTCCCCCTGCAACCTGACTAATGTAAACTTCCTTCTTAATTAGCATCTTTTAAAGGTATTATTGGGCTGGGTTGTATGGCTCAGTGGTAGAATTTTTTTTTTTTTTAAGAGATAGGAGGTCCTGGATGCCATCCCCAGAATGCAAATAAACCAAACAGTTTATTTTTTCTCTTTTTGTGTATGTTTCTTGTTTGTTCCTAGGCTGCAATGATTTTTCTATGGATGATGAGTGCTTAGTAAAATTGCTTAAAGGATGCTGCCTCAAGAATTTACAGCGGCCCTTGCAGGCTGAGCTGTGTTTCAACCACGTGCTGGAATGGTAAGAACAGATCATGCTTTCCGGGCATTGCTACTTTAAAGTCGAGCCAAATGCTGTGATCTTAGGCTGCTAAACTTTCACTTGGTGTTACCAAGGGGGAACATCCACTAGTGTTTTTTTGTTCATCATAAATGAAACTGTGGTCAAAATAGGCCAGATGCTTTATCCATTTCTACTCGGTGTTTAAAAATGACCTGTAAAAACTAAATTTATGGTCTGGCTAACAAGTGTCTATCCAGCCCCTGGGTCTCTCATCTCAAACCTCTAATGTGCTTTTAATTCATGCATTTGGGGTTTTGACCATTCTCTGTTCCATTGATGTTTGAACACCCACTATGTGCACCTACTGTACTGGATCCTAGGGACTGAGTAAATAGATTTAAATCATTGCAATCTTTTGATAGGGAAGAAAGACATGACAAACACTATACTTTCTTCTTCTTCTTTTTTTTTGGCAAAGGGGCATTTCTTAGGCATGTAATATTTGTTGTCAATAGCAGTGATAATAATGCCTTACTCCTTTATCAATCACAGAACTGAATCAAGGCTGAGATCCCTGACACTCTTCCTGTAGTACAAAAACAAATGCAAATATCTGCAGAGACAGACCTTACTGAATGAAGTAGGTTGAATAATGGCTGGAACAGGGAAATTGTTCTTTCTAAAGAGTGGACACAATCTCACCTCTAATTGGTTATTGCTCTGCACAGTGTGGGCCCAATAACAATAGTCCCTACTGTTATTCATGAAAAGCCAAGAAGCTGGATTTTGTAGACAGTTTCCTGATTTTAAAGTATCAGTTCAAGTTTTTTGAAAACATAGTGCAAGCTGAAAAGATTGCAGCCTTAGATTACCAGTTGATATCTTATTTTCCTTATCATGTGCCTTCCATCTATGGCTACCTGGTCCCCTTCCTCCTGATAGTATTTATGGCAATCTAAGAGAACTAGTATTTATATATCAAGAAGATAAGACAGTATTTGTTTCCTAAATAAATAATGCCTTGTATTTAGTGAACGTGTTAAAGAAGTATGCATGAGAGCTATTTTAGTGGTGTTTTTGTAAGGCTTGTTCAAAGTAAGGACTGATTGTGCTTTGTTCTGTTTATTGAATCTCATGATGAATCGTTTTACCCCTTTTTGATAATTTTGGATTGTGAGATCACTTTCAATGTTTTTTTTTTTTTTTGTCTTGTTGGTCATGGGCTTGAACTCTGGGCTTGGGTGCTATCCCTGTGCTCTTCAGCTCAAGGCGAGCACTCTACCAGTTGAGCCACAGTCCCACTTCTGGTTTTCTAGTGGTTTATTGGAGGTAGGAGTCTCATGGATTTTTCTGCCAGGCTGGCTTTGAACCATGATCCTCAGATCTCAGCCTCCTAGGTAGCTAGGATTATAGGTGTGAGCCACCTGTTCAGTGGGGTTTTATCTTCAGATATGAAGATACATTGAGAGTCTCTCTAAAGTACTTTTAATTTTTTAAAAAAATTTATTGTTAGAAAGATGATAAACAGTAGGGTTACAATTAATGTAAGTCAGGTAATGAGTACATTTCTTTTTGGACAGTGGCACCTGTCCCTTGCTGTCTCCCACTTAAAGTACTTTTGAATTTTGCTATTTCTTCCAGGCATTCTGTAAAGCCTTTTCTATTCTGGAGCCAATTTTATGTTAATTTCATTACGTACATATTTTTACATCATTTGGCCAATGTAACTTTAGTTGCAAATTTATGTGAGGATGGGCCTATTGGCTAATTTTCCACAGGAATGTTTTTTTCTTGCTACCAAAAGTGTGAGCCAAGGAGACAACTATCCTTATCTTAGTGCCAGTTAATGAATTTCTTTCAGTCTGCCCTTGGTCTAAAGGAGTAGGTCTTTTAAGATTTAAGTGTTAGCCGGGTGCTGGTGGCTCACGCCTGTAATCCTAGCTACTCAGGAGGCTGAGATCTGAGGATCGCAGTTCAAAGCCAGCCCGGGCAGGAGAGACTGTGAGACTCCTATCTCCAATAAACCACCAGAAAACCGGAAGTGGCGCTGTGGCTCAAGTGGTAGAGCAGTCACCTTGAGCTGAAGAGCTGAGGGACAGCACCCAGGCCCAGAGTTCAAGCCCCATGACCGACCAAAAAAAAAAAAAGATTTAAGTGTTAAGTAGAGACTCAGTTCCTGTAGCCTTGGGGATTAGACAAAAGTAGACCCTAAGCTCCTTCATATCATCCCACAACCTAGTTCTGCATTTTAAAGTTCCACAAAATGATGAGCTATTTGCACTTGTATGTGTGTATGTACATTGTGTGTACATGCGCCTGTGCATGTGTACTGTTACTGGGGCTTGAACTGAGGCTTGGGTGCTGTCACTTAGCTTTTTTGCTCAAGATAGTGCTTTACTACTTGAGCCACAGCTTCATTTCTAGCTTTTTGGTGATTAATTGGAGCTTGTCTCATGGGCTTTCCTGCCCAGGTTGTGATCCTCAGATTTCAGCTAGGATTATAAGCGTGAGCCACTGATGGCTGGCCTATGCATGCTTTTATCCTGCTTATTAAATTTCATAATGAATTGTTTGCTTTTTGTTTTATAATTTTATATTATTTAGTCACTTTCACAAGGGCAGAGTTTTTAGGTTCTGGCACCTGAGAGTTTTTCTTACAATCTTGTGAGCCAGGTTCTGCCATGAATCTGAATGGATATTACTTGTATTTTTCCAGAGCTTCATTCTTTTTCAGATCATCTAGGGCTTATCTTTAAAGGTCTGCATGCTTTCCTTTACCTAGAAGACAGTAAACATTGCTGCTGGATTTATTATTAAGGAGTAAGAACTGAAAGCATACAACTTATTATCATAGTTATTAAGTTCCATAACTATATAATGGCAGCTTTTCTTCTGATAATAGGTATAATGCTGCAAATTTCTCTGGAATATGGAATAATATAAGCATTGAAAAAATGATTTTCTTGTTCTGTTAAGGCTTACTTAATTTTCATTTACCCTTTCAGTGAAAAGCTACTGAAGTATGACCACTACCTAGTGCCATTCACTTTGTTTGAGCTTGCGTTTTTGTATAAAAGCCAAGGGGAAATTGACAAGGCCATAAAAGTCCTAGAAACTGCAAGGTAAGTGGTAAAGGCAGACTTCCCTGGATTGCTATGGAGTCAGACTTACCAGCACCATTGTTACAACAGGAATAATACATAGTTAAAATTATAAACATTACCTCTGCATATATATGCATATGTGTGTCCAGCACCATTGTTACAACAGGAATAATACATAGTTAAAATTATAAACATTACCTCTGCATATATATGCATATGTGTGTGTGTATATATATATATATATATATATATAGATAAGTCATATGACTTACCTATATATGACTCATCTATATTCATGGCTTTTAAGCTTAACTATGCCATTTCCAACTCTTAAACCCTGTGACTACTTACAGATGTGATCATGGATATCTAAGTAATTATTTAACTTATTACATTCAATATCAGGAGTCAACAAACTTTTTCTGTAAATGGCCTAATAATATTCTGCTCAGAGTAAATCTTGGCAGTAGAGAATAAGGTCTTCTTCATTCAGTTATAGGAAAAGTAGCCATACAAATAATATGTAGCTCAGAGTTGGCTCTTTTGAGTTAGTTTGCTGACCAGTACATAAGGTCATATTAAATCAGCTCTGTCATTTTCTTGAAGAGCCCCTGCGGTTAGCTGCAGTTTTCCTTTATAAAGTTGTCAAAATTGACCCTATAAAATTGGCAACCTTGGTGGCCAGTCATTTAGGAAAATTCTCACTTTTGTCCTTTGGCTAGCCTTAGTGTAAGCGGTTGATTTTCATTTATGATCAACACATTTTAGTAATGGCCATCAAAGCCATAGGTAGCCCTTACCCCTGTGTAAAGTAGAAGATATAGAATTAAGTGCTACTACAAAGAAAGGCGCTCCAGGACTCCATCTGCCAAGATGGGATGAAGACAGGAGACCAATGCCAAAATTACTCCATTTTGCTGATTTTTAAATAATTCTGGCAAAGGCACGGGCCAGCCTGAAGTATCTAAGTAAGCCCTCTCACCTCTGCTACTACGAGTGCCTGAATTCAAGGCCTCCTGTTCTTACTTGGCCTTTTCACTCATGGCTGGTGCTCTACCACTCAAGCCATGCTGGCTGGAGATGAGAGTTTCTGGTTTGTCTGTCTGGGCTGGCTCCCAATGGAGATTTTCAACATTTCAGCCTCTTGAATTTTTTAGGATTATAGGCATGAACCACCAGTACCCAGCTGTAAGTTAGGATTTCACATAATGTCCCTCTCCTCCCCACTACTTTTTATAGTACCATTTATTGCTATTATTAAGGTGTTGTGCAGAGGGATTACACAAGTCAGGTAATATGTATATTTCTCCCCCTATTTTTTGTAGTGTGGGGATTAAACTCAGGGACTTGTGGCAAGTGGCTTTACAAACTGAGGCTAGTGCTTTACCATGGAGCTCCATCCCCAGCCTTCTAGAGCTTCTTCTGACTTTGACTTAGTTATTTTATAACTCTTGGTTATAACTAATTCTGGTGCAACTAAGTAATCCTACTTTTAAAATATTTTTATTACCTTTGAGTAATTGTACAAAGGAGTTGTCATTCAACAAAGCAGTTACGGTCCAGTGCATCCTGATCAGTGTCACTCCTTCCAACATTCCCATCCATCCCTCCCAATCCACCCCTTCCCTCACTTTTCTTAATTTAATTCTGCTATTTTTGTTGCAGTTTCTTCAAGAGGGTTAAAGATATTTTTATTCTTTTGGAATGATTGTGTTCATTGTGTTTATATGAATCTGTCTTAATATTTTCCATTTTTAAAAAAGGAAATCAGACTATTTAGGAATAGTTCACCTAAGTTGTAGTCTCTGTATAGCCTTCTTGCTGTGGTGAATGGTTTCATAAATAAGTAGAATGTTACTTCTCAAAGTATGCTCTTTTGGTTATCACCAGGAAGCTTCTGGAAATACAGACTTGCTGTCCTTCTTCCCTCACACAATCTGTGTTTTATTAAGATTCACTGTTATGCAGAGATTAGAGAGAGATTTGGGTGGTCTGTGGTGCTCTGGTGTATACAAAATCAATTTTTGACTATACAATTTTATTGTTATTGTCTTCAGAAATAATTACAAAGATTATTCCTTGGAGTCCAGACTACACTTCCGAATTCAAGCAGCTCTTCATCTGTGGAGAAAAACATCTTCAGATTGATCAGAACATGAAGGATGGAATTTTCCTTGATTAGCATCGGCATCTACTATACATTAAACCTTGTATTAAAATGGAAAAGTGATCTTGTGAATAACAGACAGCAGAATAGTTTGTCAATATTTTCTATCATCTGAGTGGTTTATTGTTGGTTTACATAATCCCACTCCCCTCCACTATGGAATGACATTCAGTACTATCTAGAAAATTCTCATACTTTGTTTCTCAAAAAGGATTTCATATTAGACTTTCAGGGAGTGGAAACGTCTTTTAAAAGACTCACAGGTACAATAAAGGGTAATTTGGATATTTATTTTTTTAATGTGGAAATATTATTTAAGTAGCAAATGCTTTTACAAATTGAGCCATTTTTAGTTTGGTCATGAATCTTCAGAGATATTTTGTTGTCCAGTATTTAAATCTCAGAGAGGAAATAACACATTCAAAATAGTTTAATAGATTTTTCAAGATTCTGAAAAAGACAAGAAGAGGACTTGAGTTAGGTTAAGATAGATTGAATTTGATAGGTTGAATAGAACTTTATCTATAAGAGATGATAAAATTCTAGGTTACTGAATTTTTATTCCTTATGTTTGTTAATGTTGGTGATATTTTGAGAGTATCCTGGTTTTGAATGCACTTAAGTCTATTTTAACAACACTCAACAGCATTAGACACAGTCCCTGTGTATCTATTTAACAGGAGAAAAAGTCATATTTAGAAATTATCCTTAGCTTTAGCAGTGAAGCCTAAAATATACATCTTATTTTTCTTATAGGAAGCAAAGTTCCTGCTGCTTTAAATGATAATATAAAATAACAATAATTTTTACACTTAAATGTTGGTAAGATCTCATTTTCTATTCTCTCTAGCACTGTGAAGGTTTCTTATAAACATCTGGACTGTTCTTTTCCCTTGGAAACAGATTCAGGACATGGAGCTGGAAAGAGCCCAGTTCTGTTTTGTCCTGGCTTTGCTACTGGTGAGCAATTTAACAGGGTGACCTTTCGGAGACTCCCTGCACTTCCTGCATCACCATATGACTTCCAAGGTCTGTTTTAGTTGTTTAACTGTGAGTCTGTGTATTAGGCATTTATTTCCAACAAACAGTGCTCAATGTTTAATTGAAACCATTCCACTTAGAATGTTGTAGTTTTCAATCATTTTTGTTTCCTGCAACTTCTCAATATGTATGTGTTATGGTGAAGGACCAGGTTCCATCCAGTGAGGAGATGTAATTTATGAGTCAATGAGATTTGGTTTTGTCTTATTTATATTTCTGTTTTGGAGAATTGTAACTTTCCCTGGGTAGTTCTATATTTTCACAGATCGAGAGTCAGGAGTTCCTCTGTGTTAATAGTTCTATGATAGACCAAGTGACTTACCCATTTTGGGGCACGGTTTTCCCAGTGAGGATAGCAAGACGTATTTGTGCCAGTGAGTGCTCGGCTAGATCAGACAGATAGTAGCTTTCAGTAAACTGGGGGAGTCTTGTGAATATGGGTATGTAATGATTATGGGTTTACACCGCTAACAGTTTCCGTGTAAAATATCAAATGAGTCTGTGGGCCCTATTATATGATGAAAGAAGTAGAAGTTTAAAACCCTTTATAAATTTGTTCACATATTATAAATTTGATCGTGTGTTTGGTACCAGTAATAGTCCAGATTATGAATTTGCTCCTCACTATTCTCAGATACAGGACCCTGTGCCCAACAGTGCCTAATGTATGTATGTAGTGTGTCTGGATCAACACTGAGGAAGTATTTCCAGGAGAAGGAGATTAGTAAAATCTGAGTCAGAGTACCATCCTTCCAGATAGTAGAGGGGCAGATAGTTATATATCCTATTAATAGAAATTAAATAACTTTGGCTACAGACAAGAGAAATAAATCCATTAATGCACCTGTTAATGGAAAATATATTCAGTAATTATTGTGAATATAACTTTGGGAAAAAGTTTATAAATTCCTTAGAAGAGCTCTGGTAGCATTATTTTTTTAATTTTATTTTATTTTATTTGTGAACATACTGTACAGAGGGGTTACAATTGCATGGGCAGGATAATGCGTACATTTCTTACCAAGCATTGCAGCCTCCTCCTTTGTTTTTTTGAAAACGTTTTTATTGTTAAAACATGGATGCCCATTTTAGGTTTGTGAGAAGTGGTCAGAGCTGAAAGTTGAAAAAATTCACATTCTGGTATAAAACATAAAACACTTAAACCAATATGATTGTTTTAATTTTAGCTGATTATCACACAAATATAAAGGACCTTTAAAATTTTTCTTTTTTGTGTGTTTATTATTGCTTATTATTTATAGTTTCTTGCCAATATGGACAGTCTATTCAGTGAATTTTTAATTAACTAAAAAATCTACTGTATTTAATCTATCATGGTATATTAATACTGTAATAGCATTAATACTAAGAATATTTCCTATCATGTTCAAGATAGTGTGCTGGCACTAATTTCTTGTAACATCAACAAATATTGTCTTTTCAGAGTCTTCTTGTGTGTGTGTGTGTGTGTGTGTGTGATTTTTAGATTCTTCAGTGAATAATGAGCACCTATGTGACAATGTTTTATATAATGTTTACGGGGCGGTGGGGGGGATCTGTGATGGGATTGGGTTGCCAATGTGTTTAACAGTGCAATTTCTGTTGTTTCTGGTATAATTACCTTTATTTATTTGTTTTTAAATGGCAAGGCAGTGTTCTGTTTGGTGCTTTTTAAATTTCAATAATAGCTACGTTTCATGGGTTGGTGATCAGGAAGACATGATTTCTGCTTGGTGGAGTTTAACTACATCAGCTCTTGGTGTATATTTTGATGTTTTCTATGCCCACGGATACAAGAAGTTTCCAAGCTAAGTAGGAAAAAAATAATTAAGAAAAGAGGATAGGAGCTACAGGGAGGCAAATTCCAGATTAGTGTCAAGGAAGATTTTTAATCATTAAGACAATCCATTAGTATAAAACAGTCTAACTAGCTCTTTGACAGAGGAGTGAGTATATAGTATTATGTGACTTTCATTCTTACCTGGCCTGAGTGCTTAGATCAATTGCATTTGAAGTCCCTCTGATACTTTGCTCAGGGCTTAAAAGTGGTGAGAGCCAGGTAAAGAATCCCCTCCCCCCTCTGCCTCACACAAAAGGGATGTTTTTTTTCCAAAGGCAATCTCTCTGCTATTGATACTCAGTCTGATTCCACCTATTATCTATCCCTGTAAAGTGAAATTATTGGTCTTTCTGAATAGAGGTTTCCTTCACCTTGGACAACAAAACAATTAAAAAAATGATCTTTGTGCCCAACTGGAAAACTTCCCGGAATTACTGTGATTAGTTCTCCTTTGTTCTTCCCCCCACCTCCTTTATTCTCCCCCCCCCCCGCAATTCATTGTCCTAGGTGTATTCTCTATATTTATAAATCTTTAATTGAAATGTACTTAGTTAAAATGCTAACAGAGATTCCAGCGATCATTTTGAAATCCTAAGATTTCGTTATTCATTAGGCCTGGACTGGATCTTAGGAAATGATCTTCTCTTTTCAGCCTCAAGACAGGCTTGTTCATTCCACCCCTTGCTGGCTAGTGTACTTACTGTACTTGCCACCTACCACCTTGTGGTAGTTGAGACCTGAAATGGTGGAGAAGTATCAAGGGAGCCTTCCTTCAGGTGTGTTGCAGTTTTGCTCACAGACATGCCAGGGATCCTGCTCCTGGCATTCCGGCACTCATTTGCTATATCATCTGCCATGACCACCCCATCCTGCAGTTGCTTCATCAGTTGTGCTTCAAATAGCTGCAAAGTTCACTTTTTCTGTTTAAATGTCCTTGAGTTCTATACTGTGTTTATTCCACAGCTGATGAGATCATTGGCATATTTGAACATCCTCTTACCCCCTTCCTCCTGCTGAACTCCTACAAACCAGAGCAGGTCTTGATTTTTTTTTCACATTAATATTTTAATCTGCATTATAGGCATTCCGAGGTGTTTCACAAAGTACAACTGTTAGAATTGTAGAAGAGAGACTGCATGTTGTAACGTTAGCTTCATGACTAACAAAATAACTTCTGAGAAAATACTCTGAAAAATTTAGTAAACCCTTTTTACTCCCCTTATATTAATGTTTTAACACTTAGCTAGCTCAGTATGACTATTTACAAGGTTTTAGACACTATTATCCACTTAGAGAATAATGTCAGATGATATATTGATGCATTTAGCTGCTTACTAGTAATTTGAATATATATGCTTAATGATACCTAAATATAATTAAGATATATTTTTAATATCTTTAGACATTTCTTGATTAGATACAGCTATTGATCAATAGATAAATATATACAAAACTACTCATATTAAATAGACAGTGTTTTTATACTGTTCTTTGGAGGAATGAATGATTTCCCAAATTATTCTCCCTCCTTCAGCCCAACTAGTTATATATTTTACTTTCAGTGGTAGTTGCTAAAATCTTATTCCTGCTTCCCTTTTAGTAGTATTGTCTTTTGTACATTTACAATTAGGTTTTGTTACTGTAGAATATTGAACTTGAGCAGTAATGACAAGGAAACATCAGAATTTATCATTAGGGATGATATTTTTTTGATTGAGAAGTTCTATCTGATCTTGTTGGCTTTCTTAAGAGGAGCTGTTGAAGTCAGTTCCAGTGTGTTTATAAAACTTCATTGCCAGGGAAACAAATGACATAAAAACTATCGCATGTATGGAGATGGCTGAGCAGGTTCTTGGCTGGAACCAGATAGAGGGATATATGTAGATTTAGCACCGGGTGAAATACTGACAATATACCCATAACACAGCCTGCCCACTAGTGCTGGAACAGAACTTGCATGGAAAAAAGCAGCTGCCTCACTGTAACTTATAAAGAATGCCTGTAGATGCCTACAAGTTGTATTTATTATTTTTTAAAATGTTTTTGTGGTGTTGGGATCCATCCAGGGCCTGGGATATATGCTAGGTAAATGTTCTACCACTGAGCCACATCCTTGGCCCTAGGTTGAGTATTTAACAGGAAAAGTCAAGGTATGATAATATCAAACTTTATTAAAATAACACTTTTTGAATATTAACATACAATGTACTTTGTATGCAATCAGCACTTAGAAGTGTATAAGTAAATGGTGACTTTAAGGGATGCTGGCATATCCCATTAGGAGTTTTTGTTTTATTGTACTTAACATATTTTTAAGCAAATTGGTTTTAATTATTGGTCTTTTGGGTACCATTTGGGAAAGAAAAAGAGAAGAAGGTAGTCTTAGTGTAACAGAACTGATAACCAGAGAAAGTGAATAAATGAGCACAATAAAGATCCTTCCATTTTTAAATCCTTCCATTTTTAAGGGAATTACATTATTTTGAAATTTGAAGATATACTTAATTTTCTGGTATGGCACTCTGCTTTAGAAATCATACAGACATTTTAATTCATTTTTATGTGTAAGAGTTGAATGTCAAAGTAGCAATTTTGGGAATAGCAAATAAGAATAAATACATTTTTATTAGTTCAGTTTTTTCCTGAAGTAATTTATTCTTCAGAGTAGATAATTGCTTTCTATAGTGATTTGTTTTTGCTTTAAGGAAAATAATTTACACGAAAGGAGAGATTAAGATAGACATTTTAAATCTTAGGCTGTTGGTTAGATGTTCTGGCTTAAGAAAGCAACACTGTTGGATTTGGTTTAAGATTTGCAGCGGGAGAACATGTGTGTTTCTCTGATATGTGCTGTCCAGAAAAAGTTCTTAATTCTCAACAATGTGTTCCATTCTCATATTGTGGAAATTTTTTAAGTAGGTTTGTTGTTATTTTTTTCCTTGTTATCTATGCTGACTGTTGCCGTCTAAACATCTGAAAGAATACCAGCAGATTCATTTAATATGTTAATATTTAAAGATGTTTATTTGCAAATGTTCATAGCACATTTAAATTTTTGACACAAAGTTGCTAAATTATGTATAAAGATATATATATATTTAATAAGTGAAGAGTATTATTTTATTACTGAAATTTATTTCCAAAGCAAATTTATTTTGTGAGTGTTTCATTTGGGAAATTTTGCTTTGCCTCAAAATACAGTAAATAACCTTGTTTTGTGTTTTGGTCACCTAAAGGCCCCTTTTAGGTCACATTTTAACTTGGTATGTAGAAGGGTTTCAGAATTCTTTGATAACATTTGTTTTCCACTGTTGTTTGAATTAAACAAAAATAAAGTTGGAAGCTATTAAGTTTCCTGTCGAATCAGGGCCACCTATATGTACTTTATAGTCCAATGTTTTATTATAAAAACTGTCAGCATCGATCTCCTCCTTCCTTTCCTCACTTCATTTGGACTTAGACTCCTGTCTCCCATTCTCAGCAGCCACAGCTTGACAGAGCAAAGCAGTTTTAGGAATTGAAGATGTGTGAGTTCTGTGTAAAATGAATGTGTTAGTAACACCCATCTGCCTATCAAATAGGTTCTGGTCTCAAAAAGTGAAATAGATTTAAAAGACTTTTAATCAATACAAATCAAGAACTGATACTTCTAATATAGAAACTGTGTTCTCAATGAGTATTCTCTTGGCTGATTTTGTGGTAATGTTATCATCTGTGATTTGTAAGTTAATGCTGCTATGAGGTCTAAAATTTCAACATGAAGACAGCAGTTCCTGTAGCCTATTTTTACCATTTAGACATTTTTGAAAACAGATGTCATCTTAGAAATTATATTTTTAAGTGCAAATAAATCATCCCATCTTGAAAGTCAACATGTTTTGTTTTTCATTTCTTAGTAGTGCAGAATACTGTGTTATTAGATCCATGTTCAACTTGCCAGACTTTTTTTTTTCTTCCAGAATTCTGTATTTTCATTTTGCTTCAACCAGTTTACCTACAACATGCTTTTGAATTGTTATTTAAATAAATGGTACTTGATGGAATTACAGTCATTGTGGTTGGTCTATTTGTGAAAACTCTACATATCAC